GATGTGCTGCTCCAGTAGTTTTTGGATAATCTTCAGTAGAATCTTGCTTGCATGTGAAATCAATGATATTGTTCTGTAGTTTCCACACTCTGTTGGGTCACCCTTCTTTGGAATAGGAACAAATATAGATCTCTTCCAGTCACTGTAGAGAAATCAAATTGATTTTTGTATGTTGATCTTGTATCCTGTCACTATGTGGAATTTGTCAACTATGTCCAGTAGTTTTCTTGCTGAGTCTTTAGGGTTTTCTATGTATACTATTATATTAACTGCATGTAGAGATAATTTTAGCTCCTTTTTGCCAGTTTGGATACCTCTTATTTCCTTCTCTTGTCTTATTGCTATTGCTAAGGCTTCCAATACCATATTGAATAGGAGAGGTGATAGTGGGCATCCTTGCCTAGTTCCTGTTCTTTAGGGGAATGCCTTTAATCTCTCTCCATTGAGAACAATGGATTTGCATATATACTTTTTAATATGTTGAATAAATTCCCCTCTAATCCCATTTTGTTGAGTGTTTTAATCAGGAAAGGGTGTTGGATTTTGTCAAAGGCCTTTTCTGCATTGATTGATATTGTTCTTTGCTTTGTTAATGTGATGAATTACACTGTTTTTCTTATGCTGAACCATCCTTGCGTACCTGTTATGAATCCCACTTGGTCATGGTGAATTACTTTTTTTTATGTATCATTTGATTCTATTGGCCAGGATTTTATTCAGGTTTTTTGCATCAATGTTCATGAGAGATACTGGCCTATAGTTTGCTATTTTGGTGTTGTCTTTACATGGCTTTGGTATCAAGGATATCTTTGGTTCATAGAATGAATCTGGGAGAATTCCATCTTTTTCTATTTTCTGAAATAGTTTATGGAGAATTGTTAACATTTCTTTATCTGTTGTTGATGCAATCTAATCTGGAATCACTTTCCTTAATGCATTTCATAACCACAAATATCTTGCTCTTTGATAAAAGTACAAAGAGTCATGGAAGTCATAACGTAAACAAAAATATTGCATTGCTTTTACTTGCCAGAGATGTTTGAATTTTTTCAGTTTTATTGTCTTTCTTGAACATAATGGTACTGTTGTCTTGGCTTGGGAAAAAAAAGGCTTTCTAATACTAATAACATTAAGCCCTAAGCATTAAATTAATTCCTTAGACTTGATTTTGATTCTAGTTGAAACCTAGGCTAATTACTTAAACTCTGCTTGGTTGGACTGATGGACAGGGTCCTTATTATATTAGAGTCTCTGAACTTGTAAGCATTTATCAATAATTAACTGATTAATTTTTTTTCTAGAAATAGTAGACACATTAGAGAATTAACATTGAGACTTGCAACTTCAATATTTGATGTGAAGAAGAATAAAGGGGATGTTTTAATTCCAGGAGGCTTTTTAAATAAAAATTGCAGAGTTATTTCTACGTTTTTCTCTGTAATGCAAACTTGTTGCTATTGTTATGTAGCATCGAGATGCCTGTGACTCTTAATGACCCTATGGACAACAGCTCTGAAGCCCGCCCTGTCCTGAGCCAGTCTCACTGACTCTAACACAACAATCCCCATTGCCCCTGTCACTGTATCAATCCATCTCATACCAGGTCTTCTTCTCTTGTGCTGTTCCTCCACCCTTGTGAGCATGATATCCTTCTCCAACTATTGGTACCTCCTGACTGTATGCTCAAAGTATGTGAGATGGAGTTTCAAAATCCTAGCCTCCAAGGGAAAACTTAGTTTTACCCTCTCCTGGAAGGACCAGTTTTGTTCTCTTGGCAGTCCACGGTATGTTTAACACTCTTCTCCAGCACCACAACTCAAAGGCATCAATTCTTATGTCATTGTTAGTCATTGTCCAGCTCTCTGATACATAGCAAGTGATTGCAAAGACCATGACCTAGAATAGGTGCACCTTAGTCTCTAGACTTACATCACTGTTTCTCAGTACCCTGGAGAAGTACCTGACAGCAGATTTTCCCAGTACAATTCATCTTTTGATATTCTGAGTGCTGGTGCCAAGAGTGGTGACTGTGGAGCTGAGCAAGCTGTAATTGTGCTGTTGTTGTTTTTTTTTTATCTTTTTTATTATTAAATTTTATTAGTTTTAGTGAACATTTACAGAGATTTTGGGTTTTCATTCATTCATTTTTGCACTGTTTTCTCCACCCTCCTCCCCAGTTCGTTCTTCTTTCCCTCTCCCCCAATGTCTGTTTTAATTATCCAATTGCCACAGTGCTTGTCAAAGCCAGTTCTGATTAATCTCCTTTGTCAGTGTGTCCCTTGCCATTCCCTATCACTCCTCCCTGAGAGAGACTTCACCCTGATTCATAAGGAAAAGGGGATAGCGTATTCTCTTAGCTACTTCCTACTGAAAAGGGACACTGTAGGTTTCAGGGTGAAGGTCTTCTCTCACGACTCTAAAGGGCCCCCTTGGCAGTAGGAAACACATAGACTATTATGGAGATTGATTTTGGAATTTAGATGCACTGTTATCAATTGTGTTTAGCCGTACATGTTCATATCCTTGAAGATGTATCATGGAAGTGTTGCAGCCTAGAAGATACAAGTTTAACTAATAAGTTAAAAGTGCATGAGTCAAAAATTGACAGCCTTTTTAACAAATGGTGTTGGCAAAATTGGAAAAATATCTGCAAAAGACTCAAGCAAGACCCACACCTCACTCCATACACAAAAACCAACTCAAGGTGGATCATGGACCTAGAACTAAAACCAAGGACTATAAACTTCATTACAGAAAAGCTAGGAACAACACTAGAAGTCCTAATCCACAACATAAACAGTCTTCCCAGTATCCTGGAAAACCTACAACCAGGAGAAGATAACGTAGATGAATGGGATTTTCTAAGACTCAAATCCCTATGCACATCCAAAAACTTCTCCAACAGGGTAAAAAGGGAGGCCACTGACTGGGAAAAAGTATTCGGTAATAACATATCAGATAAGGGACTTATATCCCGAATTTATGAAATACTTGAGTACCACAACAAGATAAAGGTAAAGAATCCAATAGAAAAAATGGTCACAGGATATGAACAGGCACTTCACTGAAGACGACATTCAGATGGCTAACAAGCACATGAAGAAATGCTCAAAATCCCTAGCCCTAAGAGAGATGCAAATTAAAACAACTATGAGATATCATCTCACCCCAGTCAAAATAGCAAAATTTAACAGAACAGCAAGCAACAAATGCTGGCGAGGTTGTGGAGAAACTGGAACCCTGATTCACTGTTGGTGGGAGTGTAAAATGGTGCAACCCCTGTGGAAAGTGGTATGGCGCTTTCTCAAAAAGTTGCAAGTAGAGATACCATTTGACCCAGCAATTCCACTACTGGGAATATACCCTGAAGAGACCATAACTGACACCCAAGCAGATATATGCACACCCATGTTTATTGCAGCTTTGTTCACAACAGCAAGGAGTTGGAAACAACCTAAGTGCCCACCAACAAACGAATGGCTAGAGAAGCTGTGGTATATTCACACAATGGAATACTATGCTGCATTAAAAAACAAGGAACTCATGCAATATTACGCAAGCTGTAATTGTTAATGACATCAGTATCTTCTCCATCCATCATGGCGCTGCCAATTGGCCCAGTGGTGTTGATGTTGAGCTTTAATTCATATTAAAGACTACAGTCTTTGACTTTCCACAGCAGTACTTCAGATTCTCCTCAGTTTCAGCAAGCAAGGTTGTGTCATTTGTATATCATAGACTGTTGACAATTCTTCCTCCAATCCTGGTGCCACATTCCTCCTCATAAAGCCCAGCCTCCCAAATGATCTGTTCTGCATACAGATTGAAAAGATATGCAGACAGGATGCATCCCTGATGCACTCCTTCTCTGATTTTGAACCATGCAGTGTTTCCTTGCTCTCTTTTGACTACTCCTTCCTGGTCTAAGTATAGTTTTCACATGAGCACAATCAAGTGTTCTGTGATTTCCATTCTCCTCAAGGTTAGCCACAATTTGTTATGATCCACACCGTTAAATGCCTTTGTGTAGTCAATGGAACACAGATAGACATTCCTCTAGTATTCTTTGCTTTTTTGCCAAGATCTGACATCTGACATTGGCGATAATGTCTTCAGTGCCACAACCTCTTCTAAACTCATCTTGCAAACCTATTGATACTTAAATTCACTGCCCTTTAGTTAATTCTGACTCCTAGGGACCCTATAGGACAGAGAACAAAAGTGCAGAATAGTACCTAGCCGTTGCAAAGAACTCACCATTCATAGGATCAATTGCGAATTCCTTAGAAGGGGAAAGAATTCTGTAAGAAATGTTCTCATTGCTGTCTAAGTCTGTAGCTGACATGGTCAGGACTGAATATCCCACAGGTATTGACTCTGGAACCGTGATCTGAGAGGGAATGAAAAAGAAAAATAACATTTGCTTAATGGCTAAAGATATTTTCATAAACAGAGCCAGTGTATGAGATTTATTTCATTTATAATGTGGATGCTAGATACAGAATCTGACTTTTTAAGGCATACTAATTTACAGAGTTGAAATATTAAAAATATTGCAACAAAAGACCTAAGATTTGGAAAAAATGAAACCGTAGATGAATTTCATTTCCTTTTAATTTTTATTATGATGTTTCCCTTAAAGTTCTTTCATACAGTAGAAAAGAGTTAATAGGATTATTGCTGTAAAAATAATTCAAACAAGCCTTCCCAGAAGATTACTCCCTATTAGAGTTTCCCATGTGTGTTTTTACTTAAATCTTGATAGAGTCAAGAGTCCTGGGGCCCATTTCAAAGTGACTGTTGTTAGTAACCATCAAGTTACTTAGTTGAATGCTATCATTGTTCTTATTTCTAGAAACATACACTATGTCCCCCAAAAACGTCAAATTAGTCACATTATCATTTTATTCATAATTTATTTCTTCAAGACGTCAATCACCATGTTCCAAAAATGTGACCAGGAAAAAAAACAGACTTTTCAGAATCATTTGTAGATAGTTCATACTACCTTGATTGTCTTATCTGTAGCTTTACAAATGTTAGGCAAGCTCTTACAGTTATTAGCAATAACTATGTCTGAAAACAAAAAATGATGTCTGAAAACTGAAAATGAATGGCATATACAGTCACTAGACTTAAAGAAATACTCAATTCCATGCCCATCTGAGTAATCATATGGCTTTTAAGTAATTAAGTATAAAACCCACAGCATTAATTTGGAAACTAAAAGTGATAAACATTGTTTACCTAAATTGTCTGTGCACAGTTAAAATATTAGATTTTTTTCCCTAATTCCGGCCTTGATCCTAGAATTTCTCCAAGCTCTTTACCTGATAGATATCTTGAGAAAACACTGGTGGATTATCATTGACATCTAATACATGGACCATGAGCATTCCCTCTGTGTGGTGCACCGAATCAGAAACTTGGATGTACAGGTCATATTCTGTAGCTTCTTCATAATCCAGTGTTTTCACCAGCATCACTACTCCAGTGTTCTGATCAATGGCAAACTTGCTGCCAGGATTACTCTCTTTGGTGAAACTGAAGATGAGAGTTGAATTCAAATCCCCATCATGAACTGATACCCGAGTCACAACTTCACCAGGCGAAGAATCTGAAATAATCATGGCCAATGCCAACCGCCATTAGTGTACAAATAATCAAATCTATTTGTTAAATAGCACAGCCCAAGACTTTTTATTTTAAATCCAACATGATTTTCTATTTCTTGACATGATTCCTCAACCATAGTTTATTATGAAATGAACAAATTTCTATAAATAATAATTTATTTACATAAATTCTGAAGAATTTATGAGATCAATAAAATAAAATGAAATTAAAATACCACTAAGTAGGGAACTGAAGAGGTAAGGTAGATTCACTTTTTTTATAATATAAATTTTCATCATCTACTTCTAGCACAAATCTAGGATCAAGAATAATTCTAACCCAGTTACTTGAACTATAAAGTTACTGTAACAAAATTATACATATGGAATAAAAGAGGTGGATGGAAAGAAGTCTATTACTAAAAACATTAAGAAATCTATTATAAAACAATATCAAAACTTTTGAAAAAGTTAAACTGTTTGAATATTGAACTATATAAGTGCAAATATTTGTATACTGAAGTTATCAGTTGGGTTCTTAGGCGGCGTCGAGTTGAGTGCGACCCTGTGAAGAAAAGATCTGATTGCTGTCTTATCCTGCACCACCCTCACACTTCCTGACACATTAGAGCCCATTGTGGCATTCACTGTGTCAACCCATCTGGCCAAAGATATTCCTCTCCTTCACCAACCCTCAACTTTTCCAAGCATCATGTCCCTCTCCAACGAATAGCCCCTATAGCATCTTGCCTGAAGTATGTGAGGCAAAGCCTCATCATCTTTGCCTTAAAAGGACACTCTGGCTGTACCCTCTCCAAGATATACTTCTTTGTTCTCTTGGCCATCCATAGGATGTTCATGTGTCATAAGTGGTTTCCAGTTCAAACTTCTCATAAAAGAGACTTTATCTTAAAACTTATAGTATGATATAGGTGGAAAGAACATGCCCATTACTCAGAATAGCCAAACTGTATATGAATCCCATACATTTAATATTTTTAAATTCAACATTCTTGATTTTCACCAGTTATATATATCTTACCATTTCCAACAGGTTATGATTTATAAAGTTTATTCTTGTGACATAATAGGTGCCTTGCTGCATTTGAATACCAGGCATGTGTTGAAGATACTATTTTCAACAAAGACAAATCAAACTATATCAAAGAGGCTAAAAGCAAAACAGAAGAACTTACACTGCCAGAATGTAACACTTGTAAGGTTCCCTATATATATAGATATCCTCTGCAGTTTTGATGGGGAAGATCAAGGACTGCAGCCTTCAATATGGATTGCATCTCAATATCAAGAAAATTAAAATCCTCACCACCAGGCTAATAGGCAACTATCATGACAAACGAAGAAAAGATTGAGTTGTTAATGATTTCCTCTCACTCTCACCTACAATCAACACCTTAGAAACTAGCAGTCAGGAAATCAAAAGATAAGTTGCACTGGGAACATTTGCTATCAAGGATCTCTTCAGAGTGCTAAAGAGCAATAGTGTCAGTCTAGAAACTAAAGTCTACCTGATCCAGGCTACGGTCTTCTCAATTGTTTGCAATGCAACTGAGAGCTGGACAATAAATAAGGTTGACATAAAACAAAACAAAACAAAACAAAAAACCAAACAAAAACAAAAACCCCCAAACTGATGTCTTTGAGTTGTAGTGCTAATGAAGAGCATTGAACATATCATGGACTGCCAAGAGAACAGGTTTGTCCTGGAGAAGGTGAAACTAGGCTGCTCCTTGGAGGCAAGGGTTTTGACAATCCATCTTACATACTTTGAGCATGTTGTCAGGAAGGACCAATCCTTACAGAAGAACGCCATGCCTGCAAGGGTGGAGGGCCACACAGGAGAGGAAGACCCTGGATGAGATGGATTGACACAATGACTGTGTCATAGAAGTCAGATGTGTCAGAGACAGTGACACTGGCTCAATATAGAGCTAAGTTCAGAGCTGTTGTTCATAGGGTTACAATGAGTTATGGTTGACTCAACAGCACATAACAACATGCATAATGAAGTACAACTCCCTATGAGCTCTAGTGGGTAAGGAGTTTGCTGCCAATCCTAATATAGGCAGTTTGTTCTAAGCTACCAGCCACTCAGTGAGAAATATAAATAATCTTCTCTCATGTAATTTACAGATTTGGGAAACCCATAAAAAGATTAGCTATGAGTCAGTTTCAAGTCAATTGCAATGAGTTGTTTTGTGGACAGCATGTCCAAACTAGGCAGGATGAATAAAGTCTTGCCATACTCATCTTAAGGAGCATTCTGGTTATTCTATTGTAAATATTCTGTTGGAAATTCCTGATATGCTCAATACTGTAGAGCTCTGGTGGCCTAGTGGCAAGAAGCTGGCTGCAATTCCGAAGGCACACAGTTCGAGGCCACCAGATGCCCCTCTGGAGAAGGATAGGCAATCTCCTCTCTTGCTGTGGGTTGACTCTGACCCAGCAGTAAGAAACAACAATAACAGAACCAGGTGAAACATAGTCCTTAAAATGACAACGTTACTTAATACTTTAAGATCTGTGCGGGAAATAAGCTCATTGTAATATGTGACTTGATTTCTTTACTCCTACTTCAATGAGTGTGGATCCAAGTAACATTTTTAAAACTTCAAGCTTTTCTCCATTAATCATGATAATATTTATTCATTTCATTGTGATGATTTTTGCTTTCTTTATGCTTTACTCTGGAATTCATACTATGACCTTTTAGCTTCATCACTTAGTGCAAAAGATCTTTGTTTTCAACAATCAAGGTTGTTGATTGATAACATCTGGTTAATGAATTTTCTTCTGTTCCTAATTATGTGTTCTACTTTATTCCGTCCAGCTACTCAGACTACTCAGCATACATTTTGAAAAGGTATAATAAAAATATATAAGCTTGACACAAACCTTTCCTGCTTTTAAACAATATAGTCATAATGAACCCTTAAGTTACTGAATGATTGACTACTGGTCTACATACAGGTTGAAGATTAGCACAGATAAAGGTCCCGGAATTCCAATTCTCTGCAGTATTACCTGTAACTTGTCATGGTACAAAATGTCAAATGAGTATGTACAGTCACTGGAACATAGGTGAAAATCTTTCAAGCAAGTCTATCTGATGTTAGCAACATTATCTTTTATTTTATATAATTATCATAATTCAGCTCAAAGTTTTTGCAGTTCTCTGTTGATGGACTATTTCAGTTGTCTTCAAGTTATTTTCAGCAAGATTTTACTTACACATGATATTAATGATATCATTTCACATTTTCTGATATTTTTAATGATTTGAATTTTTAATTTTTCAACTAGTTTATTTACAAAATTTGAATACAAATTAGAACAAATTATTTCAATTTCCCTCACTCCCCCACTCATCAAATTGTACAACCCGATGATCAGTTCCCCATTCCCCACGCACATCCACATCCCTCTGCTGTGAGCCTCTCCCACCCCTCCTGGATCCTTATACTCATTCTACAATAACGGTTTTATACAATATTTATTCTTGTGGGACTGAGTTCACTCAGCATAATGCTCTCCAGTCCCTCCAAAGTTAGATAATAATTTACAAAGTTATTGCTCTGCGTGCTGCATAGTATTCCTATCGTGTGGATGAATTTATCATAATTTCTCAATCCATTCATTTGTGATTGGACATGTGAGCTGTTTCCATGTTCTTGCAATGGTGAATAATGCTGATATCAACACTGGTGCACAAATCTCAGTTTGTGTCTCAGTTCTCATATTCTCAGGGTATATTCCAGTAGTGGAATACGTGGGTCATATGGAATTTCTATGTTCAGCTTTTTTTAGGAAAGGGCAAACTGTCTTCCAGAATGGTTGCGCCATTTTACAATCCCACCAATAATGCACAATCTAAAGAGGATAAAATTGATGCATGGAACCTTCTAAAGATTAAATCTCTGTGCACATCAAAAACTTTTTCCAACATGGTGAAAAGAAACCTACAGACTGGGAACAAACATTTGGTAATACGATCTCAGACAAGAGTCTTCTAACAAAAGTTTACAGAATACTCCTGGGTCCCCACAAGAAAAAGACTGATAATCCAATTACAAAACGGGCAAAACAATTACAAAATGGGCACAAGACATGGAAAGAATTTTCACAGTGGAAGATATTTGAATAGCAAGCAGACACATGAAGAAATGCTCCAAATCACTGGCAATAAGAGAGATGAAAATCAAAACTACGATGAGGTGTCATCTCACTCCAGTAAAATTGGCCAAGTTTAAAAGGGTGGCAAGTACTAAATGTTGGAGAGGATGTGGTGAAAAAGGAACTCATACATTTTCTGAATTTTGTTGGATCACCTTAATTTAGAATGGGCACAAATATGGACCTCTTCTAGTTATTTGTCTAGGTAGCGTTCAAATGTCTTCATATTGATGAATAAACATGTGCAGTGCTGTATCATTCTATGGAACACCTCTGTTGGTATTCTATCAACCTAGAACATTGTTTTCTTGGAATTATCTTCAATGCAGATTGGATTTCTTCCTTCAGTACTATTGATCTGATCATATGCTATCTCCTGGACTGGATGGTTATCTGTAATTTTTTTTTCCAAAATAACTTCATGTATGTTTTCCATATTCTTTTGCTTCCTGTGTCTTCAATATTTTGCCCACAGAATACTTCACTATTGCAGCTCACAGCTTGAATGTTTTCTTTTGATTCTTTGGATTTGAGGAAAGTCAACCGTTTTCTAACTCCAGGTCTTTTCACATGCTGTTAATAGCACTTGTATTATAAAGTCACCCTTTGAAATCTTCTGTTTAGCTCTCTTAATTCATCATTTCCTCCTTTCACGTTAGCTTCTAGAATGTTGTAGAGTAAATGTTCTAGACCAAGTTTCACAATATCGTCTCATATTAATTTTGTTACTCTTTTTCTTTCATCTGTTTTTTATAATCTTTCATTTCTTTCATTCATAATGTCCTTGGTATCATTCCACAACTTTACT